GCCATTGATTAAATTGTTCCCGAGTCTGAGGATTTTTTACTTTACGTCTCGTTAAACCTAAAAATTTCTCATCAGAAATACCATCATTTCTCATGGCATTCCAAGCTTGAGTTGCTAATGATTCGGGTCTATTCTTATAATTTCGATAAGCTATTTGTATAATTCTTGCTTTTCCAAAATTAGTCTTTGGTTTATTGCATTCGTAATCCCAATGTTCCTGCATCAGGTCTTTAGGTTCGAGATAATCAACATACCTCTGTCTAGTAAAATGGAATAATTTTTTAGGATTCACATCATCGATTTTTATGAGTTTCCAGCAATCGAAGCAAATAGCCATATGACTTTTGTGGATTCTTGGTCTATAATAATTGAAATTGACAAATTTGCCTTTACCGTATGACATAAATAAACAATATCGATGATATACACTAAATTTCCCAGCACTTAATAAATTTTGTAATGGAATTCTTACTCGTATTGCCCATTGAACAGGCGTTTCGTTCTGTTTTATAGTAGATAAAGTGTCAAATAATCTCTCATTATCGAAAATTTGATTGAGTTTATTAGCATAAGTTCCACCATAATGTGATATATATGACACAGTATACTTCATATCAAAACCAGGACGATTAATATATGGTTTAGGAAGTGTTTTATCTTTTTTATCAATAATAGTAGCGATATCAAAACCAGACATATTTATCGATTATATCGTATTTAGGAGACCTATTTGATTAATAACTATATTCTCTAGAATATATGATTCAAATTTTGTGCGATGCTCGAAGAGCGCCCCATAGGGCCTGGATTCTCGAACCATCTCTTCAAGAGATAATCGTCATATTTTGCGGGTGATATATATGATAAGAATGGGAGATATGCATATGATTCTAAAAATTCGCCCCTTTGGGCCTGGTTGTAGTGAGGATTTGTAGTTTAGTGTAATTTTTAGAAGTAATTCTAGGGTCGAAGAGCCATAATTCGGAGAATTGCCTTACGGCCTGCTTCGCAATAAGAATTTATTTGTGGCGATATTCATATATAAATCGCTCGTGTATTGTGGATATATTGTGTATATATAATATGATCTATTTTTGACACGCAACGATTATCCCAAATGTAACCGAAATGAATTCCGCATGATCTATTTCAGGCATTAGTATACTAATTAATTTCCCGGTGTGACTTAATACTCTATTATATGCCAGCGAAACAAAAGACAACTTAGCATACAAT